AGGCGGTGGTGTTGCTATTGTCTGTAGGAGCGATTGGTTATTGGAACGATTAGACAGCGTTTTTTATAATGCCTTTGAATGCTTGTGGGCTAAGATTACAACTCCCAACTCAAGCTTTTATGTGGCTGCTGTTTATCATCCTCCAGATCCGCCATATTGTCCTGATGATTTATTGGAACATCTAACAAATAGTTGTGATCGTTTATTGACTGGTAATCCTAACAGCAACCATATAATTTGTGGTGACCTTAATCAGCTAGATTACAATGATTTTCTTTCACAACTAAATTTATTCCAGATGGTGAATACACCGACAAGAAAGAACAAAATTTTGGATGTTTTTATTACTAACGTCCCACATTTTTGGAGGGAAGTATCGGTCGCTCAAGGACTAGTTCGATCTGACCACTCTGTGGTCCTGGTATATCCCAGAATCCCACTTAAAGCTGAAAGGAAAACTGTGATGTTTAGAGATGTTCGTGATCATCATAAACTGGATATGGACAAACTGTTGAAGTTTCATAACTGGGACAATGTTTATCAATGCGGAGATGTGAATGGAAAACTTAATATTTTTTGTAACAGGATTAAGTCCATGTTTGATGAGTGTTTTCCGGGTATATCAGTACGTGTGTCTAATAGCGACCCCCGTTCCTTTCTCCTCTAATCAAAAATCTACTGGACCAACGGCGAAAATTGATTCGGCGAAGTAACATATCAGGAAATTCTGTTTCGATTGAGATCCAAACTCTTCAAGAGAAAATCAACAAGTCGATCAGAGATAATCAAGTTCGGGCAGTTAAAGGGAATTTTGAGAAAAATAGTGCAGGATCCAAATCTTGGTGGTCAACAATCAATTCCCTGACAGGAAGGAAGTCTACCAACTCGCAAGTAAGCTCAATTATCTCCCCGAGCGAGATCAATGATTTTTTCTGTTCCATTAACACTGATCCCCTTTATAAACCCATTGACACTGTCACTATCCCGGAATCAAGCGAGATGCCTGTTTTAACGGTCTCCAGTGTTACCAGGAGTCTACTGAAATTAAAAAGAACTGCCTCTGGTCCAGATGAAATCCCGTACTGGTTTTGGAAAGAGTTTGCGTACGACCTCGCTCCTGTTGTTACCCATATCTTCAACTGTTCTTTGGAAAACCACATTGTGCCTGATCTTTGGAAATTGGCCGACATAACTCCCTTGCCTAAAGAGCCCAACTTTAAAAATTGCACACAATTGCGGCCTATTTCGCTGACTAATGTAATAATGAGGGTTTTTGAACGTCTTGTATATAGACAAGAATTGCAATATATGAAGAACTTCATTAGCTTCGACCAGTTTGCATACCGCAAAGGCCACAATACGACAATGGCCTTAATTAAGTGTCAATATACTTGGCTGAAATGGCTTGAGTCGGGTTTTGATTGTGTTAGAATTTTCTCTTTTGATTTCAGCAAAGCTTTTGATTCGGTCCCTCATGATATCCTCTGCTCTAAGTTGAAAATACTTGACATAAATCCATACGTGACCAATTTGAAATGAATTATAATAATTTAAATTTAAATGAATTATAATAATTTCCTGTAATTCATGCATTAAGTTCGGCACATGTGAGATGCGACGTTTGAATCAAAAGTCGAACCTAAGTCGAATCTTCGGCTGTTTCAGTCGCAGACACGGCAAAAGTCACATTTGCTTTAAAACAGTCGAATTTAATTGATTCAAACGTCGCACTTCACATGCATTTAACACTCGCATTAAGTTCGGCTCATGTGAAATTCGACGTTTGAACCGGGCCTTAGGCCCGGTTCAGACGCCGAACTTTTCATGAGCCCAACTCAATTCGAATTTGGACCGACCTAAATTAACAAAAGTACGCCTGTTGATTCAGACGCCGTTCTTTTTGGCCGTTCCAAATACAGTTCCAGAAAAGCCAGTCAAACTGCTTGAAAAATACATTATAACAATTCATACATTAGGATATGATGTTCAATTTGGTTTTTTGAAATAACTGGTTTGAATATAGCAATAACAACAGCAAAACAGCAACAATAACAACAAAAAAACAACAAATATAGTACCTTCGACACATGCATGCTAAACTACCGATTTCTCTTAAAAATGCTAAGCATGCGAGAACAAAATCATATAAGGTCTCGTTCTTTCGTTAACTTGGGTTCAGTTTGAGAGGCTCACAAAGGCAACGATTTTGTACTAAAGGCTACTTTACACGGGTCCGAGTTGATTTGCACCTCGGGTTGAGTAACCTCAAAGAGTGCTAAAAATAAACATTTAACACTAACACAGGTTGCTAGTCTTTGTCGGCATGTGGTTTGCTTCCAGACTGACCCGGGTCTGTCTTTTTATTCTAGTTTTTAGAACCAAAAAAACATGGACTAGAGAGATGCCGGAAAAAAAAAATTCGAGTTTGAAGGATGATTCAACCCAGAATACATATTAAACCGACTAAGAAACTTTAGGAATTTGAAACATGTGCAATTCAAGGAAGGTATGCTCATCAACTGCGAATGGGAGAAGTCCGTGCCCAGTCTCGCTCGCCAAGTAAACCACACAAACCAAAGACCTGCACAATGAGATTTGTTTTTCTATTTACCAGTACGTTATTTTCGTTCTTATTCAATTTGAGGTAGTAATGATATAAAATGTACGATTTTCGAGGCAATTATTGATAAATTCAAACAGTTTTTCCGTATTATTGAAACCAACGAAGAAGCGAGAAACAGCTAAAAATGTAACGCCAATTTAAAACCTTCGCGATCTTCCTGAAAATCGCGACACTGCTACTTCAGTCTAGTTGATTTTGTCACATGAGCACCAGAACATCAGCGCAGAATGGTAATTAAACGAAGTTTTTATCATTCCCTGTTAATACTGGAAAACCCGTGGAGTACACATACATCCGTCCTTTCTAAGAGCTATATATCTTTTGTAGCCGAGCAGGCCTCTCTCTCTTTCAGTCTACACATGCAGGAACTGAGTTCATAAGTGGACCCTTGTGGAAGGATATTGAAGCTTAGCTTTGCTATCTGCGACGATGAAGTTTGTTATTATTTACCGTTGCTAGTGCTGAAGCGTTTGGATACTAAAACAGCGGGTGTTTGCCACCTGTACAAGACGAGAATTAAAAGTTGAAGAAGGTATCAGCGATGGCGATGTTCGATTTACACCGACTTAAAATGATCGATAACTATTCGTGTTTTTCCGACTGTCAGTTTGATAACGTGACAGCGACCTGCCACCTGCAATTAGTTTCTTGAATAAAATTTCGTTGGTGAATTAGCATGCAGCGTAAATGAAATGTTTTTCTTTGTTTCCACAACTTGTCTTCAACAGCAGTGAAAATATGGTTCATATACGACTTGTGTTACTGGTGGAAGTCTCAAAAGAAAAATGCACAACGTCGACAAATTATTAATAGCTTGCTTCGTGTTCCTTACAGAAGGTATTTGTGCTCTATTATTTGGTAATATTTTCTAGCCATTCTATTCAGTACTTTTCAAAATATGCCTGGCACAAAAACGCTTGTAACTGATGAATACCCTCAGGAAAAGATTAAAGACAATGGTTAAGCTTCGAATCTGCCTTCAGCATGACTTCCCTTAGGAAAAAATTTTCCGAGTCAGGATTGATTTCAATACTGAGAACGTTTTGCGTATTCTTTGTGTTATTAAATAGAGGAAAACTATTGTCTACAGCGACTATGACATCACTATTATAGCGGAGAGATGAACTTGTTTGAATGAATTTCGATTTTATGCTCTTCAGATCGTAACTATTTACAAATATATGAATAGCTTGGCAATAGGGCTGTTATGACGCCATGTAGCCGCCATGTTTTTTTCTACGAGAAGTTATTTGTTATCACATTACATCTATCTCATTAAGAAAATAAACTTATTCTTGGAAATTTAGTTGTTCCTTGTCTGTTCCGAATTCATTTTAGTGTTTGCCTAGTGAAAAAAACTGAATTAAATGCATGTAAGACATTCTAATTGTCACTTCTGGAAAAAATATACATCAGAACACTTGAACGAAAAATGAAAAACAAATTTTATTTTAACAAACATTTGTAGTTTGATTGTCCACTGTTGTGGAATGGAAAATTTCAATCATTCCAAGATGTGATTGGTAAATTTCTTTCCGACTTCCGCTCATTATCTTCACAAGAGTATTTTGTTTGATCTGGGCAACAGAGAGGGAAGAACTAGGAATGGAAAATACTATCAATGAATTCTCTCTCAATATAAATTGGTTACGACATTTCCATATCCATGCAGGCGTCCCAAGCAATTCGGTAGATGTCTCTCATTAAGATCTAAGACTTTGGTGTTTAATGAAGACTAACTGACGCGAAATCTGGAGTAAGCGATTTATTTTCAGGTCCTGTAACACATTCGTTGTTACCTCTGCCCAGGACGTAACCTCCATAGTCCGAAACATGATTTTCTGCATGCGAGTAAGGTTATTGAATCGTTTGCTTTTCCTTTTTGTCTTTTGGTGTTTTATGTTTTCATAGGAGTCCTGCGTTGCTGTTCACAAGAGAGAAACCTAACAAACCATCTTCTGAACACTACTCGTTACAACAAGAGGTTCCGACCAGTTCTACACGACAATCACACCTTGGGAATCAGGCACAGCTTGATTCTTTACCGGATTGTTAAAGTAGTAAGTGTTCTTAGAAAGTTCCCAGAGTAGGTTTAAATCGAGTTTTAAAACGAAAACCAACGTGATCTCGACCAATCAAAATTGAGGTCAGCCAGCATTTTACATGAGATAAACATTATACATAAAGTTATCTGAGTGAAATTACCAACCCAGGTTAGCTTTTTTCCCAGTATTAACGTGAAAAACCTAGGGAAACTTTAAACCTGCTCGCCGGGTCAACCCAAATCTCGACAAGGGTTACCCGGCAAAGAGGGTTGAACCGAGTTGAAGGGCCGCGCTAAAACTGGATGCATTGCGGGGGTAGAGGCCATTCTCAGCATTTTCTGTATTACAGAAAAGGAAGCCCTGCCGTGTGTGGCTCTTTAACTACTTTTTCCGTGAAAACGTTTCCAAACATTTGACTGCAAAAGGATTTCCCTTCGCTTTGAACCAACCTGCGTCAACAAGAAACCCGGGTACGCGTAAAGAGACTCTTAATTGATAGTTTCCCTCACGATTATAGTAGCCTTCTCGACAGTAGATTTACATTTTGTGATAAATTCCCGTGCTTATTACGTTCAATGAGTATGAATATTTGTTGTATTTCAGGATGAAAAACATCTTAAAATTGACCTAGATGTAAGGATTAAAATGGTAAGATTGTCGGCAAGGCCTAGGTAGCTACATACAGCTAGGGACAAAATTGATTAACTCATAACATTTTGAGGAAATATAAAGAAATGAAACTTGAAATAGACTATACCTCGCTAAAACACTCCCTCCCTCCCACAACGAACAAATACAGAATAGAATACAAAGAACAAAATTGTATCGAAGGGGTGGAGCTGAGGGTTTCATGATTAATACTGGTTGGCTACTGCAGTATATAGAACCTTTGTTAACAGTGTGACAACTGTTTCCCCGCAATTAAGGATTTTCAATCAAGAGGTCCTTAACCTACCCACACTCTTTAATGTCACTTATGAAAGATTAGCAGCACACTAGTTTAGCGCTATAGGCGAATATGATTTCCAGTCTTTATTATTCCACTACTACGCCAGCTTACCAGACATTTTAGGGCAACGCGACGCCCGAAATATGCCACGGTACGGTATCACTTTGTAGAACAGTGCAAGAATAGAAACGGAAAGCGGAGCAAAAAAATAACTCCGCTGAACAATCCAAACTTTGATTTTTCGGTTTATTTCATTGTTGGTCAAAAAGAACCCTTTGATGATTTCGCTTCTGTTTTCTTTCGTCTTTCACGCACGCCATACATATCCGATCGATGAGATTCTCGCAGATATGGCCGTAGGAAGTAATTCGTCAGCTACGAATAGAATCATTCGATAGTAGCGGTAAAAAATGAAATAATAGTGGAATAATAAATCCCTTATTCGACGGTTTAACGTATAATGCGAACGCAAAATTTGATATTTGAATTGCTCGTATTTTTCCTTGCCTACAGAGCTCGGAAAAAATTTCTCGAAAAACATCCGCGCGTCTCATTTGTTTAACCATCGAATAAAGAGTTTACATGTGACCATGGTATGTTTAAAAAACAAAGTAAAAGGAATTAAAAGAAGATAAGTGTTAATTACATCCTAAAGGTTAATGTTGCGACGTCATGAACGGAGTGGATCTTTTAATTAAACCATCGATTTCGCCTAAAAGAAGACGGCAGTGTTTTTTCAAAAAATGCTTGCGTCCATATTTTAACATTTTTTCAGAAAAAACTATAGCAAAGTTTTTCGCTTCAAATGACGGTGGGGCGTATTGATTTCTGCCATTACATATAAATTGTATCCTTTCATTTTAGCAATGGAAAGATCAGAACTTAAGATGGAATACTTCGGATTATGGCGCCATAAGGCAACTGAACTTTGATGGAAGTGAAATCTGGACACCTCAAATAATTTTGTACAACAAGTAAGTGATTTATCTAAGGATATTAAAAAAATTTCGCATTAAGGAACAAAGTCTTGGGTGTCACTGTCTTCAGGAAGGACTAAAATAAAATCTGTCAAAGCTCCCCTTCCAAATTAAACACAGAAAGCTTTCATCGTTTATCAACATTTATTTCGAAGCTTACTTAACGAGTTCCACTCGAATTGATTTGTACACTTTCTAACACTAAAAAAAAATCCGATTTTCCCAATTTTGTAAATTGACCTACGTAGGCGGAAATGTTTCTGAGTAAAACGAAATTGAGACGCTGTATGGAAGTGTTCAAAAAGTTTTGCTGTGTTTTGAGCAAGATTGTGGCGGTTGCTCCCATGCTTTACCCTTTTCCTCCTTCTTCATTGTCAGTTGGCTTGCAGAATTCAAATCTTCAGACTAGTTACATTTTTCTTTTTCGTCTTCATCTTTCTCACTCACACTCGGGTTACTCTCCAATGACATCTCTTTCGTTTCGGACCCCTCTGTGGTAGCGGTTGGAAAATCGTCAATGATCACGGTCTCTTCATTCGAGCTAAACACGAAACCTACTTCTTTTTCCAATTCTTCGCGATTCTTCGGCGATCGCGGATAACACAAGCAGAACGAAACTAAAAATCCACCGGCAAAACATTCAGCGTATTGAAGAAGCACCCATGGAGATACAATCATGATGATAAAGGATGAGTTTGCGTAATTTTCGCCTAACAGTTAAAAGAGAACCTTTCAGTACAGCTCAAATGGAAGATCTAAATCTTTCAGAAGGCAACACACAAGAAAATACTATTTTTTCAAAAATTACACAATAACTATTTGATTTTCTTTTAAAATATAAAAGTTTCATTGTTCAAGTCACGTTTTCCATTCACAATGCAATTCTAAGTTCTCTCGAAGCAGGATTATGGTAAACAGCTGAGTGAAAGGTAAATTAATTCTAAAATGCTTCCCTTCATCGAAAACAGATAGCTGAAAGCGTTCATAAGTAGGCAAGCTTACGCGTGGGAAACAAAGGAATCACGTTTTTTGGACTAAAACAGTTTTAAAAATAAGTGTCATCAACTGAAATTTGGAAATGAAAACGCAATCGATTCAATGGCTCTTCACCTGCCTTTGTTCAAAATTCCTCTAAAACTACTCGAAAGAAGATTTTAGCTGTAGATAGATCAACATGCGCACAGTTGTAACAACTCGAGTTGAATATCGCTGAATTATGCGCATGAAAGGCAGGACCCATGTCTAAACACAGTTAAACGCGAATCAGAAATATTGTTTATTGCTTTTAAAAGACCTTCACGTGTCCGATAATTGAACTCACGTCGAAAACGAAGTACTAAATGTGATTGTTTTAATCTGCTTTAAAATGTGCCATTAAGGAAGTAAAAGTGCAGAAACACTCATTGAGATGATGTCAGTCTCCTTAAAAATGTTTCCGTGTGAAAGGTTATAACCCTCTTGGAGATGAACGACAGTTACACATGGCTTAAGTCAAGTGAAATCGTTCTTGTTTGAATAAACCGGCCCTACATAAAAAGTTTAGAACCCTCCGACGGGTCAGAGGTACATAGCAAATCGTTCATTGCAGAATGCATAGTGAACACCCATTTTTTTCGCTATAAAAATGGTCGAAATTGGACTGCAGAAGTTATAGCCCTAAGGGAGGCTTAAAATAGATGGTATAACTATAATGAATCCCCTATGGTCAATCGTCAATCACTTGAAAAGCACTCAATCATTAGCGGCTTGGGCTTTTGGCTGTACACTGCGTACTTTATTTATTGATATATCTTTTAAATTAATTCCGTTTGCATCTTTAAACAAACACTCGACAAATCGAAGAGGCTTCCTGTGCGATCACGCGGGCTAAAACTAGCGTGAAAACAAGCATGTGTTTTGAAGAGAGAACCATAATTTTGTAGGTGTAAAAGACTCTTCCCCACTACTCCTTCGGTTTAGCATTTGCATGCACGTCATTAAAATGTTATATGCCGCAATTGACTAATGAATCGCAAACAGGCTCGTGACAAAATTTCTTTGAGTGTCAAATAGTCAATTACGGCATCAATCAATAACTTGACAAGTTTCACGTTCCCTTCAAATATCATCAACGAAAAAGAGAACTTTCGATAGCGCCAGTCAAATAAAAACAGAATTTAAAAAAAATAATAATAAATACTTCTTAATCTGCTGGGAGAAAAACATTTCTGTATACTTGTGAGCTCACTCAATGGCATATATGTAACTGCTTTCTTACAAAAAAAACCACTTTCAGTTTCCTTTTGTTTATTTATTTTTCCAACCTGTAACGTTTACCGAAAGGTGATTAATATTTTACAACACAGGACGAACTTTCTTCCGCTCCAAAAGATTCAATAACTAACATATTTGAAGAAAATATTTCCTATTTGTTTAAAAAAAATGCAGAATGCTATTAGACACTTAGAAAATCCGAAGGGTTGTCTTCCAAGTTTTAAAATAACTTCCAAAATAAATGCTCATGAATTGATAAGTAATAACATCACTTGCAGCAGTTTTAAGAAAAGAAATGCAGGCGTTGTTTTATTACTCATTAGGGCGCCACCTTTTCTCAAAGCATTTGCCATTTTTGCTGATGAAAAACACGAGCATTTACAAAATACGCTTAGCGTCAGTTTCAACTATTTTATTTACATCCCCAAAATTTTTTTAACGCAAATTTTCTTCAATGTAACATCGGGAAAACACTCTGACCAAGAGAAAGGAGAGAAGAATAAAGCAGAGAGGAGGCTGTCGGTGGAAACTCTGAGATCGAGCCCCATGGGGGTGGAGAAAGGGGTAACCATCAACGTACGGTATAAGCTATTAGGATATGTGCAGCCTCAGAGGCGATTGTTTTAGTAGCAATTATGGCCTTGAATCGTGTTTGGTTTACAAGAAACCGAGAAAGCGTAATAAACGTATTTGCCTTTTCAACTGCAAGTAATAACAGAGAACGAAAGGTTACCAAAAACAGATAATCTGAGTTAAATTTTCCAGTGATTTTACAGGCCAGGGTATGCGCCTGAATGCGGAACATAACAATGTTGGTCTAAAATAGAGTCAGGAATAGGAGAACCAAGCGGCAAAACCCTATGGAAAATCCCAAGGAATACCCCTTGGATACCAAGTGGTGTTTTGCGTCACGTGCGCTGAGTCACTTTATGGAATAACGTTTTGTTAAACTGTATTGTACGTTATAGTGCTTCCTTCACTACGTTGTTTTGCGTTATTGCCTTGCCTTGTCTTGCACTGAGTCACCGTGACGTTACGCAGAGTTCTTGACGAGAATCTTTCACTTCCAGGCTCTCCCCATCTGTGAACTATGATTTCTCTATGGTGGGCTGTTAGTAAACCTTGTCACTGAATTTTTATCTAACGGTAAAAACAACTCCATTGACACTACAAGTAAGTCCATGGAACAGAAGTTATACCTTCGTCTGGATCAGCTGTGGCTTTCACTACTGAGGTGTGGGGGTTATTAGGTAATCAATTTGCCTACAAATAACATTTTTCATATCATTAATCCTGTATTTCTCTAGTGCGGACTTCGACGACTCGGACATAGGCTCCTTTAAAGCTACCGTGACGTATGATGGTAATGTCACCTGGGTCGTTCCCATGGTGACAATGAGCTCTTGCCAAATAAACGTGCAAAATTTTCCCTTGGATGAACAGGTGGGTGATGTAATAGCACCTTCCGTTTATCCCACACACAAAAACAATAATTAACATGAGTGCATCACTGATTTCAAACTAGAAGTGGTAATAGTGGAACTATTTTGTCCTTCTTTAAATTACACAGTAAAGTCGTATAGATTTCAAAACTGACTCATAGACCACTTTCATAAATGGCTGCCGTATAAATATTCTTTTGTTTAAATTTAAATTAGCCCTTCTGGCCTCGCTTGAGATAATGTATTCTTTTGAATTTTGTACTGGAGAACGAGGCCAGTAGGGCTAATTTAAATTTAAACAAAAGAATATTAATCCGGCAGCCATTTATGCAAGTGGTCTACGATATTTCCTTTTTTCTGCAGATGTGTAAATTGACGTTCGGATCTTGGAACTTCGACACCACTAAGCTCAACATATACCCAGGTAGTGACACCATATTCACTCAACATTATCTTCCCAATGGAGAATGGCAACTGATCAGCGCTCGCTCTGAACGAAGCCTTATGTCACACTTCTGCTGCAAGGCCATGGTGTCACGAGTGTCGTATGTTTTACACATCAGAAGGCTATCCCAGTTTTACGTCACCAATTTCATTGTGCCTTGCGCACTTATCTCAGTGCTGACACTTCTGGTGTTTATGATGCCTGAAGGTCAGTAACTTATGCTCACTTCTTTCTAGTCTACCCGCCCATTGTGTAAGCCTAGCGAAGAAGTCAGGGAGTCAATTAATCAATTAGCTAGTCAGCCAGTTGGTCAGTCAACCAAACAATAAGCTGTGAGTGAGGGATTAAGTGAGTCAGCAAGATAGTCAGCCGGACAGTCGAACAGTGAGTCAATCAGACAGTCGGTCGGTGAGTCAGTCCGTCTGTCATGGAGTCATTCAGTGGGTCAGTCCGTCAGTCATGGAGTCAGTCAGTC